TGGTCTTTGGCAGTGTGCACATGCATGAATGTGTGCACTTCATGTGCATGATTCAGTGCGAGGAAGTCAAACCATAGAATCATAGATTGATCCATGTTGGCGAAGCCTTTTCAGCACGTTTCAGCGCTGTTGGTTTCTTGTTGGTCTTCCAACAAGCGTTCCAACAAGTGTCATGGCCGTTGATTTGGATATGCTGGTTGCCCGACTGGCAGCTCTGAAGGCACCAAAAGCCACTTGGATGTATTTTGCCCATCAGTTTACAACTTGCATCACGCAGCGCAAAAGACATGCACGTATATAGAAAAGAACACTTGTATAGATCACGCCATCAAGCAATGAGCAACGTATGCCAAAAAGGGTTTGCGCATTCAAGTGTCACAAAACAAAGGTATTTGTGGCTGCTGTGATCCTGGTCTTCCACTCGAGAAACTTTGGAAGCTTTACCCAGGCTTGGTTGACTTTTTCCACATGGCTCCAGTCTAAAGTCTAGAGTCTAGAGTTATATACTCGAGATCCATAGGTGGCTCTGCTCAGCTGCTCTTGCAGGAGCTGGAATTCGTGGAAATGTTCGCAGGAGTTGGTAATTGTTGGCGTGCTGTTTCGTCAGCTGGCTACCCGGCCTGCCGAGTTGATCTTGAGTACTACACACCAGATCCTAAAGATCAAAAGCAGAACCCCATGGATTTCATGACCAGCGCAGGATACGCGAACCTTTGCTATATGCTTTTGGAGGGTTGACTCTCGTTCATTCTTTTCCTTGTGTCCTTATGCATATGGCATACCTGCGATCTGTTTTCGAACCATGCAACTGCAGGTTTGCTTGTACATAAGGATCTGCATTTGGCTACTGCTCTCTTGCAAGGAAGACAGCTTCTGCCTTCTTATGGCAGTGGTTTGTTCGACTTGGTGCTCAGCAAACATTGGAACAAGCCGGCGGTCTTTAGTCTATGCCACAGGAAACACTAGACACAAGAGTGTTGCAGAAGCAAACGGTATGTGTGCTCGGTGCCTCTGTTGTGCACCAGCACGGTGTTGTTTTCCACTCTTTTTGCATATTAATATTTGGAATTTTCAACTGCCTATACTACAACAACTCCTCCATACTCCTCCGCATGGGTGGAAACTAAGGGCAGTGCTATTGGCTCTTTTGTGTGTTGCCCATGGGGGGTCGTTCATGCTGGAGCAACCTGGCTCTAGCATGATGGAATTCTATGAGAAAATGCAGTGGCTGTACAAGCAAGTTCCAGCTTTTCAGTTGCAAGCTGCATGTCATATCACCATGGTTGTTTGCCTACACTCTTTTGGCTGCCAAACACGACTCATTCTCTTTAATTGAGTGATCCGAGGTTTACAAATCGGGTTGGTGGATGGCACACTTCGGTGGATCATCTCCAAAGCGTCATAAAGCTCTGAGCAACACCAAATGGGTTGAAAAATTCAATCGTGGAAAACTTAACCTCAAAAAATTTCGTGAAGACAATCCTGAGGCACTGCAAACAACCGAGCGGTATCGTGATGCACAGGGAATACTGCGTTGGAAGGGCACATCATCCTTGAAAAAGACACAGATTCTCAGCAGAACCCTTAACAAAAATATGTTGAAAGGTAAAGCTGCTTGCATAGACCAATAAACCGAATAAACATCAATATGCAGAGTATTGATTTTGGTTCCACGGAGGGCAAATTATACTAAAGCTCATTGGGGATCATCGGGCTTCACCGGGTTTCTACTTCCGCTCTGTCCGTACTGAGGATATATCCAGTACGTTTTGGCCAGGCCGCAGCTGAATTGATGCCAAAGCTCAAGACTTGTGGAGAAGGCAAGCCGGTGCTCGAGGAAGGGGCTTCCAATGGTCCTGAGATTTTTGCTGCCATGTCATGGGATGGCGATACTTGGTGGGAGGATGCCCACCTCAAGCCTTTAGTGGTTTACTTGCGTGGGAACAGGTCCTTGCAAATGCCGGATCGTTGGAAGCAAGTGTTTCCCAGGCAGTTCTGACTCCTCGGTTTCTCCTAGGCCAGAAACCCTACCGTGTTTGCATGCTTGGCACCCAACTTATGGAACTTGTTTTTTCAAAGATTTTTGGAACCATGCAATGTGGATATTGTGAGTTCCATGGCTCATCCCAAAGGGAAAACCTTGTATGCGATGAACCAAAAGGTTGTCCTATCATAGCATTCTAATGTATAAATCTCAAACTCGCAGTTTTGAAGAAATAATTATCACACCGTCACACCTGCATTCGATTCACGCTCAGCAATCCTACTGGGGGGAGCTTATGAAGCACCTATCATACGCAGTCCTTTGGGTTTCTACGCGGGTTGGATGTTGATTGGTAGACTCAAAAACCTGTTCATCCCAGGCTTCAAGCCGCGATTCCTTTCGACAGTGCCCTGTGACAGCAAAAGAAAATCCGATAAAATTCATTTTATAGAACACTTCATGGATTCTCAAAAGAAACCGTACAATACAATATATCCAAGGGGTGTGGAGGCAGCACGGGGAGAGTAGTGTGTACAGCGGCCTAACTGAGAGTCAAACGGCAAAGGCCTTTTTGTTGGCATGGCAGCCAGGAACACTGGGCCCAAGAAGCTTAAGTAAAGGATCTGAAATTCAACAGGCATGGATGCTAGCGACCAACAAGCATGCACCTATAGACCCAGCCAGCATTTCATTCTGGTCAAGCATGAAAGGTATATATTATAATCAATTCCAAAGAGGTGAACAAGCTCCAAGGCTCCCTTTAAGCGTGTGGGATTGCTTGTGGGGTCCAGGCGTCTTTCAAGGAAACCCTTTAACCTTTTACAGGGTCATCCATTCTGGGCCATTGCTGACGAAGCTTCCGGCACCACATGCGTTTGCCGTTGATGTGCTTGCTTCTTTTTTGCCTCCTGACCTCATCCATTGACCTTCTGGGGAAATCAAACCCCAAAGTTCGATTATGGAAAATTAATATGAGCGCTGACAAACCCTTCTGGTCTCCCATTCTCAGCTTTTAACAATCCTTCTGACATAGAAGGGCTACCTTCCCGTTCGAAACCGTTCGAACCCATTCAAACCCGTTCGAACCCGATCGAACCCGTTAAAAACCGTTCCAGAAATGCAACATTTAGCCGAACCCGTACCCGTTCAAACCCGTACCCGTTCAAATGCGTTCACAATGCGTTCAATTTGCGTTCAAAAGGCATTCGGGAGCCGTTCGGAAATGCAACAAAATGTTGCATTTTTCATAGCGTCCAAACAGAGTTGGTGTTGAATGGTTTTGTTCTCCCGAGGCTGTCTCCTCTCAGGACCCCTCAGGTTTTTGGTATTTCAACTGAGAGGTTTGAATTTGAACTTTGCTCCTTCAAGCTTCAACTTGGGCCGGCCCAGTGTTTGCCTGTCAAAATCTGGAAGAGCGTGCTTTGAGGGAACCGACACGAACCAACATGTATAAAAGTGTGGCTCGCGTGAGAGGATTATTCGAGGCGATTCGAGGTCATGATCAGGCTTTTGATACAACCTACTCGAGCTAACGTCTTTCTTGCGATTGTTTGAAGGACACATGTGGCCTTGATGGCCAAACCATGACTGTGCATGAAATCTTTGTGCGAAAGCAAATCCTTTGCATGCAGAGTCAGATTCAAATGCACCCTGTTCTTGCGAGTTTGGACACACGATGTGTTCCGAAGCCCGTTCCCAACAGGCCAAGTGACTTTGCATCATAGGCTGGTGTAGGCTCTGTAGGTATGGCCACCTCACTCAGAAGCAACCAGTGGAGTTGCAGTGAGCTGGCCAAAGGTGCCAGGGTTTGTGCTGAGATGGCTGGCATGGAACTTGTAGTTGACCCAACTACGATGTCGAGGGAAGAATTGTTACAATCCATCCAGGACCGTTTCAGTGTCTTTTTTGCAAATTGTTTCACTTCCATTCTCTCATATACTTCGGATTCATGGATGATGATGTGTGCAAACATGCCCTAATTCTCGTAAAATATCTCGAGTCTGGCAGGAAGCAAGAAAGTTACTTCAGACAACTGGACTTCCGGCTCCTTGAGTTTACAAATTGTACTTTCAGTGTACATGCAGCTTTCCAAACACAATAGCTTGAATGCATCATCGCAACATACCCCAAACCGGGACAAATCACTATTCTAGGTCGCAGCCCCAATGAGCGAGTGTCGAGGCTTCCACTTCCCGCTTCATGGCGCCGAAGAAGGAGATCAAGGAAGAGCCGAATAATGATGACGTGTGGTCTATGGCAACACTGCCAGCAGTGATTTGTCTCGATCAAAGTCATGCCCAACACACGCCCATGCCCCCTCTTGTTGCAGCCTTGGGGCTGTACTGCTGGCCTAGGATGCAGATCAGCTTGGCGCGATGCTTGCTGCTCCAGTTGGAGGAGTGGAGACTGTTCCTTGGAATTCGGATGAGCGAAATGCGATAGGGATCTAGGGAGATGACAAATTATGGAACCCTATCTGGCGCAGCGTGAAGTGCAACCAAGTTGAGAAACATTAATTTTGTTGGTCCAGTTGGGCTTGGTAGTGCATGAGAACTTGCAAACACTATAGGGGCCTGATGCTGCAGCTGGTGGTGGCCTGCATTCCGGGGATGCCACTATGGATCACCCTATGCCTGCTGACACTCCGGGGCCGCAAAAACGCCCCACACCAGTGTCGACAGAGAAGTTGTCACCCGAGAAGAAGACGCCAAAGACTCTAGAGGTCTGTCAAGAAGACTTGCCTTCCAACCTGCGAGGTCACCCGCTCCAGCGTCTGACAAGCACAGGAACATACGTTGACACACCCCGAGAAGGCATCCATCCCCCAAAGTCACAGGAGGTGGAACACGTTGACACGTTCTCCTCCCAGCCCCAAGAGTCTTCTACTTTGATAGCCTCCGCTGCACAGCCACAGGCAACTCCCGCACCACCAACCTATGCTACCCCTGCTGCCCCTGCCCCTGGCTTGCCTGCGCCTGTTGCTGCTGAACCATCTCAGGACAACGCTCTTCTTCGGATGGCGTTGGAGAAGATTGCAAACTTAGAGAAACAACTTGCAAACACAGCGCCAGCAACCCCAGCAGCGCCGGCAGCCCCAACGTCGAAAGCAACATGTGGCAACACTAGCGCAGCAAATCTTGCTTCTGCACAGAGCAAGCAGCGTAGCCCAGATTCGCGCGAGACGGGCGAAGAGGCTGAGGAGGACGAGGAGGAGGGTAATGGGGAGAAGGAGGGTGGTGATGACATGATCGTCACACCAGCTGGAAATTCAGCGTTTTGGATTGCATTTGCTTTGCTTTTACTGTAAATGGTGGCACAATGAACTCGGCGAACTTCTCTGTTTCGATTCAGGTGATCAGTCATGACGCCCTGCGTATGCGCCTTCGGCGTCTCTGCGAGGTGAAGGCCAAGAGCAAGAAATGCCACGTTGACTCCCAGACTCATGAACAGTGGAAAGCTGGTGGTGAGGGGAGAGAGTGGTTAGAAATCGCATTGACAGAAACTTTGGAGAAACTTGGTGCTGCTGGGAAAAACGCCCACAAGAAAGTCCGCGTTTCCTGACTATTGTTTCGTGCTCGCGCGGGTACTGTTTTTGAAACAAGTGTTTTAAAGAGAGTTGCATGCAACATGGATTCGTGCATTATTGGGGCAAAGTGAATCTTATCTTGATGTGCGCCCAACATTCTCAAAAAGTGTTTGTTCAACATCAACGCTTAGAAAACTCATGACGGATCTAACCATTGACACCTTGCAAACCTTGTAAGGTGTGAAAAGCAAACTCTTTTTAAACGTTTTGCCCCTAATTTTGGCCACGCTCCCAAGGCTAAATTCTGCTCCCGCGTGATCATAGTACGTGAAAGGATGGAAGCAAAGGAGTCGGAGATTCACGGGTCCTGGATGACTGAAGAAAAGCTTAAGGCCTCTAAGGAGTTCAGTCCGCACTTTGGCAACAGGATTGATGATGTTCTCTACTACACTACTATTATGTCGAATGATTGACTGACCTAAATTCATGCAGTATAGATTTAACATGTGCGGAAAGCTTAGGGAAGCGATCAAATCCATTGTCGCTTATTGTGAGAAATTTCCTACCGCCCTGATTCGGTGGGGCTGGCAAGTTTGATGCTGCTTTATCTTTGTTTGCCAGTTTCCTTGTTTCTATTGGACTATAGAGCCATCCCGTCTTGTCCACCACACAATAATTTAACGTTGGATTTGCGCAGGCCTTGGAAATACAATCCTGACATCAAGGAGTATTTTGTTGAGACGGTCACGAAGCAAACGATCAAGCAAAGCGAGATGCGCAAACGGACGGAAATCACTGATCTCGGCGAGCCTTTCCAGCAAATCCGCCTAGACATCGATCCCTTGTCATCCTAGTTTGAAGTAACGTGCACGTCTTTCATGAATCCAAGGAGGTTTCTGTGGATAGTTCAGCTGGCAAGGGCTTGGACACGCCATTGGCAATTGGCCCTTGCCAATGAAGCGGGTTTGGAACCACTGGCAGAGAAAATGGGTGAGAAGGCCAGCTCTTTGTTTATCACGTGCAGAAGCTGGCTCCGTGAATCATATCTTTGATTTTTTGGGGCAGGTCTTACCGGATCTGAACCGCTTCATGGACAGCATGCACACTCGAATCGTGCACTGCAACAAGCTTAAGGAGCAAATCGAAGAGGTGGAGGAACTCCCTGGAAAAGATGGGTATCTTTGCTATAATGCATGGGGTGGGGTCCGGGTTGCCGTAAAGTTTGTCAGAGATATCGAAACATGTAGACACACACAGATTTCCAAACGCTCTTCGATTGCAGGAAGAAAAATAAATTGCCTGTCATGGCCGTCATGCAGTTTCCATATAGCGTATATACAAACCTCCTAGCGCAAGAGTTCGATCTTGCTTTGGAAGAAGGCATCATGAAATTCAACGCGCTGTACTTCGGACCGGCTCAATACTGTCAGGTTCATCAGGACCCTGGCCAACATCGACGCCTGCCTCAGCAACACGTATCAAGTGCTGGCGGGGCTCAAAGCGGAACTGATCCTGATGGATGATGAGAAGCAAGTCAGCCCAGAGTTCCTTGGCTGCATCGTGGTTTCCAACGGTGCTAAGAACTATACCTCGAGATCGATCGATCTGTCTCAACGCTCATGCAGTGCGAGCTTGATAAATCCTCGACTACGGCTCAAGATTGGTAAAGTGTTGTCTTCTTGTTTTAATATGTTATATCCATGTGCAAGTTCTCATTCTCACCCATATTCCCTTTCAAAAATAAACAAATTTGATACTTCGGTCGAACACAACTTGCTGGAGGGATCTGAAGGGTTTTCCGATAGCCTGCCCTAAGGATCCGAGAATCTACTTTTCATGGCTGCCAGCCACTTTCCAAGGTTCTGGCCCCCTAGAAGCCAATGCTGGAAGATAAGATTTGTGGCTGGCAGCTAAGATTCATGGCTGGCAGCCACAAATCTTATCTTCTCAAAACTGGCTGGCAGCCATGAAAAGTAGATTCTACTTCTAAATGTGGCTTCTGCCAAAACTCATGCTACCACCTCCAAGAAGCGCTTCTGGGAAGTCACTTTTTGTGGCTTCCCAGAAGCGCTTCTTGGAAACATGCTATTTGATATGTTGCAGCTGTTTGGCTTTAAACAAGCTAGGTATAGATGTCAGGAGAAGCAATCAGCCTGCAATAAAAAACCTGTGGTCAGCTGACCCTGAAAAAAAGCCGGCGCAAGGCATGCATTGTTTTTGGATGTGTGGTTCAAGCATGGGGCTCTGAGCAAGCCTGTGGAAAGGCAAGCAATGAAAGAAAGCCAACCATAAATTGACCACATCAGAATGCAAGTTGATCGTGAACCAAATTCATGAATGCAAAAACTTTCTGAGAAGAAAATGGAAAAAACTCAAGACTGGAGAAAAGACCTCTGGTCTATTGATGGGTTTGATGCAAAGTCTGTTTGGCACTCCACAGCCTGCAGAAGGCCAGTGAGAAGGCTTAACCAGAAGACACCAAAAAAGAAAGCACTTCAGCCTGCAGAAGAGAAGTTTGAGCAAGGCCCAGCACCTATCACTTTTTTAGAATCCCCAGCTGCCATTCTACCATCAGACCAAGAGGTGGTGCAAATCGAAAGCAGCTGCAAGCACAGCAGTGACACAACGAGGTCTGGAGCCTGCAAAAAGGCCATCGTGCAAAAAAGTGCCAAAGAAAGTGCCAGCCTGCAAAAGGCCAAGTGCAGCAAGAAAAGCCAAGGCATGTTGGAAGAAGAGCCTTTCCTTTGGGTTTGTTAAGGAAACCAAAGCTTCAAACAAGGCTTACATTGTGTCCAAGCCTGAAGAAGGCAGCAAGCCAACTTGCCTGGTGAATGTGCAATTGCCTAGGGGTCCTGACCAAGACAGAGTCATGTCTGCACTTATGGCTAAAGCCTGTGAAGAGGCAAGCCTGGGGAAAAAGCAGCTGGTCTCATACAAAGATCAGCTGCTGAAGGACACGCCAGCACAGCCTGCATAAAGGCACCCCTTGGTGAGGATCAAGGGACAGACAGCAAGCCATGGCGATGGAAAGGCGGGAGAGGGAAAGAAGAGGCCTTGAGCCTGGACCAAGGCAGTGCAGGGCAAGAAGCAAAAGCCAGCACAGGCCAAACCCTCCAGAACCTCCTAAACCAAGGAGGGCTCAGCCTGCGCAAGGCACACCAGCCCAGCCTGAACAAGGCTGTTTCCGGAGCAATGAAGAAAAACCAAAGCCTGAACAAGGCCCAAGTCAGTCAACTGGTACAAAAGAAGAGACAGTTCCAGAATGCAAAAAGCCCAAGCCCAACGCAGAAAATGCATCAAAGCCTGCAGAGGCTGAGCAGGCAGTGGAGCCTGAGCCAGAATGAGCAGCCTGCACAAGGCCAGAATGAGCAGCCCAAAAAAGGAGATGATGCTGCTCATGATGGTGCTGATGATAAAGGCACTCTGGATTTCTGAGTGGGCACTGCACAGCTCAAGCCTGAACAAAGGCCAGCACACCCCATGGCTGAAGCCTGAACAAAGGCCAACTCCACCACTGGTCAGCTCAAGCCTGAACAAAATCCATTCAAAACCACAGCTGTCTTCTTAGCCTGGATAAAGGCTTGTACAGAAATGGAGCTTTGGCAGCCCTGCAAAAAAGCTCTTTGGGTGGGGAGTGGGGTTTTGTGGTTGGTTGTTGCTGGTAGTGGTGGTGGTTGGTAGGTGTTGGATTAGGGGAAGCCTGGAACAGGTATACTACTTGAGATGTGAGTGGTTCACCCCCAAGGTCTTGAAGGTGAGTGGTTCACCCCAAAAATTGGTAAGGTGAGCCTGCAAAAGGCCAGAAACACCAAAGCAAAAAGTACAAAAAAAGTACGAAAATCGTACTTTCGTACTTTTGTACTTTTTTATGTTTTTATATATTTCCTTTTAAATTAAAAGGAAATGTATAAAAAGTACAAAAGTACGAAAGTACGATTTTCGTACTTTTTCGTACATTTTCTTACTTTTTGGGTCTCTCAGCATCTCTGCTGCAGCTTTTGAAAAATCAAGGGCAGGCCACCAACACACCAGAAAAGGACCACCAACACACCAGCACCTTCAAACAACCAACGCCACACAACAAGCACAAACACACCAAACCTGGCACCCACGCCACCTAGAAAGAGGCGGACCACCAGAGCCTGAACAAGGCACCATTGTAGTGAAGCAAGAGACAGCCACTCCTCACAAAGACAAGCCTGAGGAAGGCACCCCTACCAAGGATTCTGCAAGGGGCTCACCCCAAGCACCCAGAATCAGAATGAAAAATTTCACCCAAAGCTGTAGCCAAGGCCAAGCCCAAGGCCAAAGCCAGGGCCAAGGCCAAGGCCCAAAGTCAGCCTGCAGAAGGCCATTATGAGGCACCTGACAGGGAAGCTTGGAAGGATGTGCGCTATCAGCTGCAGAAGCTGGAGAAGGCTGGAGTCTGCACAAAGTTGGCCCAGTGCTGTGCAGATTGCGGTGAGCCTGCGCAAGGCATGGTGCCTCTAGGTATTCATGGTGATGGAGTGCCTGTGCTGCAAGGCAGAATGAACCAATCTAGCTTGGATTTCATCACTGTCAACCTCTTGGCCTCAAGGCATTAGAGTCCCCCTTACTTGCGTTGATGCCAAATTCATTGCAAGGCCAGAGACCACGCAGGCCATCTTGGAAGTTCTTGCTTGGAGCCTGAAACATTTGGTATTGGGAATGCAGCCTGCATTAAGGTATGATGGTGCTCCTTTCGAAGAATCCTTTCGATTGACAAGAATTGGCAAAAGCCTGCGCAAGGCTGTTGTAGTTATGATGCGAGGAGATTGGGATTGGAATGTAAAATGGCATGGCTGTCCTATGCACAATGTCAAAGTAGGAATGTGTTGGCTGTGCTCCTGCAAGCCAGGTGAGTGGAGATGCCAAACATTAGATCAGAGAAAGAGCCAAAGCCTGGACAAGGCCCAATTTCTGGCAAGCCTGGAATACAGAAAAAAGGCCATAGCACCACTTTTCCATGTGAACCCAATTGCCAACCACACCATAGTCCCTGATTGGATGCGTGTCATGGATGAAGGATGTGGTGCAGCCTGTGCAGGGCAAGTTTTGAACGCTTTGTTGCCCTGCTATGAAGGGAAGAAGCCAGAAAAAGCAAGCAGATTGTGGGCACATATTCAGACTATCTACTCAGAGTTGGGTGTCCCAGCCAGTGCGCAATTGCCCAAACAGCCTGGGAAGGCCCCTGAACCTGCAGGCAGGGGATTTTGAGCACTTTGACAAGTGCACACGAGTTTGACACAGGCACCAGCCTGCAAAAAGCAATCCACAAAGTTGCCACCTTCACCACCCAAGTCGATCAGCACGTGGAAGCTTTCAATGGCAGGAAGCTGGCCAAATATGGAAGGGCATTGAAGAGCCAGTACATGGCATTGGAATCTCACATTCAAGGAGAAGATGAAAATGATGTTTGTTCCTGGCATGCCAAGCCTAAGTGGCACTTGGCTGGGCATATTTTTGATTTAGCCTGCATGCAGCAGTGGGCACTCAGAAGGGGTGGGAAGAGAAATGCAAGCAGTGAAGCAGAGAAAACCCTCCTTTGTTTCATGAATGACACACCCCCTCTGAATGTCAACTTGCCCAGCTCAGCCTGAAGAAGGCCCAAATCCGATGTCCAGCTTCAGCCTGAAAGAAGGCCATGCAACCATAGGTACAATATGTTTCACCTTGTCTCACACAGTTGTGCCAAGGAAAAAGATGCACATGCTGATTTGCAGAAGCCACTTTTTGTAGCTTCTAGAGTTCAAAACCCGGAAGCCACTTTCCATGGCTGCCAGCCTAAAATCTTAGCTTCCACCAGAAGCTATTTTTAAATGTGGCTTCTCGGATCCTTAGGGTGTAACACTGGCATGGATTGCGATGCGTGCGATCATGATGATGATGAAAGCGCTTGGCTACATGAGCTGATTTCCTACAATCGACATGCGACTAGACAGCAAATTGTGAAAGACTACAGCGGCCAAGAACCGCAACGCATATGACCAGTGTCACTCATAGTTTCGATCAAGCCATGCATCCGCAGCAAGGCCAGTGATGCTACTTTGGGCGCAAGGCAACTCTTTCCTGAGGACGCCAAGTTCGGAGGGTTGTTTTCCTTCTCGTGAAACTCAGGTTCTTTTCAGGGGGTCTAGACTCTAGACTTCAAATGTGTGTGGTTTCCCCATGGAGGACAGAGTGGAACACCCCTGGATGGCTCACCTGGACGATAGAGTCATGAAGCTAAAACGAACCACGTCTTGCTTGAACAAGATCTATGCTGACCCAAAGTTGGACTGCCAACTTCCCAGGAAAGGCTCTGTGTCAGGCAGTGTCTTGAAACACGCAATTTGCTCTCTTGAAAGGGCTCTGGCAACGCAAGGGCCTTTGGTCTTCAAGATTGGATACACCCATTGTCCGCACTTCAGGTTCCACAACCCGGTTTTTGGCTACGCTTGTGACCCCTATCAGAAATGGGAAACAATGGTTGCAGTCTTTGTATCCAGTGAACCTACGGGCCCATCCTTTCTTGAAGCAGCTCTCATCCAACAGTACAAAGGACACTTGCATTTCGATATAGTATTATACCTTTTCTTTTTTTGGTTGGGCACTGAAACACCTTTATACATGTGCATGGCTACCAGTCGCAACCCTTCCTTATATATGATATGCTGTGGTCGCTGCACATGTATATCCCGGCCCTTCCATGTGCACTTGGTTCCGAGGAAAGCCAGGTTGCCGCAACGAGCGCGATGGAGGTGAAACAGTGTCGGAAGCTCTTGAAGGACCATATTTCACCTATTTTGTGTTTCAATCATTCAAGCGTCCAAGCGATGCTAGGCTAATTCGTTCACAGGCACGGCCTTTATTGCATTAGTCTGCATGAGTGTTTCCAGCAGCATTGATGTGGGTCACCGAGCCCGCAAATTCTCTTGAATCGTTCGAGGTGCTGCATAGCCAAAACATTGGACGAACATATATTATATTTTGTGACGTTTTGATGGCATAAGACTCTCGAGGTTCTGGGATCTTGCGTGAAACCCTTGCCTCCTCCCTTGCAACCGTTGCCGAGGCTCAAGGAGAAGATCAACCTCGCAAAGGAGTCTGCCAAAAAACCGTAACTTTGTGGCAGTTGGTCTGTGTGGTGGCATGTGGCAATGTTTCTGATTCGAGGACAAATTGGTAAATTGATTTCGATCGTGTCCAAACCAAACCCTTACTTGCTTGGCCATATACTTGCATGACCTGGGGTTGCATTCAGGTGCGCAGACCTTATTGCAATCGAGCCGAAGCACAAGCTTCTCGGCTTCCTAAATTGAGTTGCCGTGCATGGTTGTACTTTTCAATGCAAGCTCATGGCCCTGTAACTCCAATTAAAAGCACTGTCAGATCCAAAGGAAAACAACCCAGTTGTTACTATATAGAGAGATTTCACCATACCTTGATCCACCTTCCCAGGCTCATTCTGGCTGACATCAAGAAGCTCCAGAACAAGAAGGGCGATAATAATAAGAATGAATCACCTGAGGATCCGGCGGGCGCGGGCGCCAAAGCCAAATCCAAACCAAAGGGTTCGGCTAAGGGAAAAGCCAAGCCAAAGGCAAAGGCCAAAGCCGACTAGTGACGGAGGTGTTGGCTTTGGGTGCATGGGTTATGGTGGGTAGATTGTCAAAACAACTTTTACTCAAATATAGTTTCCAACACGGGTCTCAGCATATGTGGGCTACAGCCATGGTTGAACAAATAGAGTTTGTTTTGCATCTTCCTTTGTTGTCTCATGCCCTGGTCTCCAACCCTCGATGCTCGATTTTGAGGGACTTGCCAGAGGCAAGTCAGGCAACCGCAATAGTTATCCTCTGTTGGACTGCAGCTGACCAGAGTCAGAGTAGACCTTTAGAGGGCTTGGGATCTTCAACCTGTTGGCTTTAAAGAAATACTAGGCCGATGTTTTTGTTTAAGTGAATTCACATGAGTTCCAAAGATCTTTTTCAGAGCTCACAGGATTGAAGGGGGATTGCAACCTTACTTTTGTTGCCCTTAGGCTTGTGGGGCAGCAACATGGTAGGGACCTGGCCACAGAATGTACGTTCTGTGATGGCTCAATTGCGGCCACTGAAACATTAGCGCAAAATGTGCAGCTGAGCTGAGTTCGCATGTACGATGTCACCATGAACATCCATGAACCAAACGATGCATTGCCACCCTATCCGAATGCCAGGTCCGTCCACTTCTGCCGAGGATCTTGCTTGGAGCTACTCCCGTGGAGCTGCTCAGCTGAGCGGTATGCCAACCATTGAGCTTGCGGAATTGGGAGATTGAAATTGAACCCATGCACATGAATCCCATACATGGACCGATAGTTATAGACCGATGCGTGCGCAAATCATGCTTATCGAAACACGCCCTTACTTATAGTGCCCTTACCTATGAATCGTATGACCATGACCTCCAGGCTCCATGCAATGACATCATCCAGCGAGCCAACAGCATCATGGAGTATGATATGCGAGAAGGGAAGCAAGGCCATGCGGCTGCAATTTGTCCAGTACTTCGTGAGCTTTACAAAGCTCCTGAAACCCACTCAGTAGCTTGGATCAAAAGTCATGTTCAGTGTATTGATTGGGATTGTATACTGGATGCTTCCACTGGCCCCCAAAGAATCAATTAACATGTTGGTGTCTCTCGATGCTCTCAAGACCGGGGATGACACAGGCCCGCAATTGCCCACGTGTGAGGAAGAGATCGTGTCAAAGGTGTTTATCAAGTTTGGGCTGAGCTTGGGGGTGGAGTTCTCACATGGTCGTGTGGGGAATGACTTGAAGTACCCGTTCATAAAGCTTGAGTCCTTGATCAAAGCGCTTGATATGAATGGAAAGTTGGCAAAGTTCTTTCGTCTGGGGCCAGAGTATGACACCCTGGCAAAATGTGGACCGATTTTACGTGACTTTTGGACAAAGTACAGGCTGATGCATGGCAGCCACGAGGTCTTTGATTTGTTCGATAGCGGTGATCTCCACATGGAGACTTCTTGGCCGATTTTCTTGCACGGAGATGAAGGCACGACGTACAAAAGGGACGGATGTATGGTCTTCAGCGTTCACTCCTGCATTGGATGCGGCACTGCCAGCCACAGATGTGGGCCTGTCGTGAACGATGAGATGAATGAGGGAATTAACTTCGCAGGGCACGCGTTGGAGACACGGTTTTTGCTTGGTGCTTTGCTCAGGGACTCTTGGCCCACAATGTGGAAAGGCATATTTTGACTTTGTTGTTTTTTCAGTGTGCGCGTGCATGCGCGTCTCTACCATACCATGATGCATGCAGCCTGAATGGTGACTTATTCAGAAAACTTCAGGAAGAGTACCGGGATGACCACGAGGTATACTTGCAGTTCATGGAGCTGCTGGTGAATTCAGTGGACGCTGCTTCTCGCAGGGGTGTGCCTTTGCTGTCAGGTGACTTGCTGCATCCCATCCCTCTTGGGAACAAGGGCGACTGGCCTTACCTGGTGCCTTGACAAATGCCGCAAGGTTTTGTTCTCCTGGGTTTCAGGGTCTGACCGTCTGACCTCTCACTTTGGAATGGGTGTATGATGTTGCAAGTCGATGTTTCGCCTGGCCTTGTCCCACTGTCAGGCAACTTCAGCCAATTTGTTTCGCTCCTACCGGAACGTTCCCAAGGCCCCATCATCTCGGGTGGCCTGCACTGGGATCTGCCACCTGTGTCTTGCTGGCAGACCCAACTTTGATTATGAGAATATGTGGCTTGGCGTTGCTAACAATTTCTTTCATTTGTTCAGATTTAATTTGTTGGTAAGTTTGGTTGTGGTTGGGGTGTTACCTTTCTTACATCCATTCTCAAACCTCTGGACCTGTCAATCTTTTTCAGGTCAGATACTGCTCCCTATGCAGCGACCTTTGCAACGGAAGACCCTTGGGACGAGGAAGCGGTTTTCACTCGAGTTCTGATGCACGAGAAGGAGCGAAAGTGTTTCTTCCACAAGGTGGACCTTTTCCACACAATCACCCTTGGCATGGGCAAGAGCTACGCTGCTTCATCTTTGGCCATGCTGCAGGAGGTTCTTCCGGGTTCGAGCATCGATGAACGCATGGGAGAGATGTCAGCATTGTACATCGAGTACTGCAAAGATCCTTGCTTTTGCTGTGTCAGTTTTCTTACTTTACATGTGCTGCTCAGTGGCCAAGATCTTTAAATGGTGTCAAAGGGGGGACGGCTTTTGTTTCTGGAGCGTTGCAAGGAGAATTCAAAGACAAATTACACTCAAAAGATCGATCGTTCTTTGTTGGCATGGAGCGGTTCGAAAGAGCCAACGGGTGGATGGTCCAAGGGCGCACTGACTACAACTTTGTGTCAGTTTATCGAGGCTTTCACAAAGTCGCATAACTTGGAGTCTTCCCATGACGAGTGCTTCCGTCTTATTGTAGCTCGTTCCCCATGGACATGTTTTGTAGTTTGGTCATGTCCGGTTATATGTGCAGTGTTCCTCTAAAGTTCCTTTTTAGAAAAGTTGATGTTTGAACGATACTTGCGAGGCATCTACTTCCAGGGCAGTGAACTTTTTCATGAGCAGCCTCTTCAAAAGCAGGTTCTTCATTGCTTCCAATGAGGCGGACACCATCATCCAAGCTGGCAAACACTTCCTGAAAGGGTATGCACGACTTGCGTGGTTGTGTCATCAGGAATCGTTGTCCAGGTTTGGTGTCATGCCAAAGTGCCACATGATGTGGCACGTTTTGTCCTGGATGGATATTCAGCGACGGTCATGTGCCTGGGTGGCCAACCCCATGGCTGAAAGCTGTGGAAGCGATGAAGACTTCATCGGAAAGTTTTGCGTTCTGACAAGGAGCGTAAGTCCACGTCAGCGAATACTTCGATCCTACCAAAGGTACTGTGCGCAGGTGATGATGATGTGGATGCGAGAGAGGCGATAAGAAAACAAAGGCTTGCTTCAGGAGTGTGAGAGGTTTATCATATGCGATTTTTTGGTACACATTGTATGTCACCATATGCAACCAAATGTTGCATTTTGATGCTTGGACGAAGAATTCCCGTTCGGACCCGTAAATACCCGTTCGGACCCGTAAATACTCGTTCCAATATGAAAATCCTTGGTTTTTGGCAAATGACGAACAATTCTTAGGTTTTAGGTTCCGCAGGTATATTATATATATAATACATGTGTCATGTATTAAACAAAAAACAACATGATCACATCGAGCTATATTTTGTTTGAGCATTCACTCACATGTTTACACGTGTTCTAAACATGTCTTGACATAAATAGCAGATTTGCCTCCAAAAACTGATTCCAAAAATGCTCCATGCTTGTCATTCAAGTCCAGGTATTCCATTGAATTGGAATTGAAGATCAAATTATATCAGATTTCAATCACATGATCATTTTTGCTCCAAAGCCAAATTGTGAGATAGTATTATTTGATCGAAAAGCCTTTTGGGTTAATTAGCGGCACCATGGGACTGCTAGGTGCACAGGAAGGCCACGCTATCATTTTGACCGCTGTCCAGTTTGCAGGGATTGAACAGACGCGTCTGTTTCGTGAAATTTGAAGATTAATTCATGGTTCCCAGACCATCCAGGTGACCACTCCCCTCGCTGTGTTGTTTTGGGTGTTCCTCCGCACCGCTGTCCAGGCGCACACGCCGTTGCTGGATCTCACGCCCATCCCAGTGACCGCGCTGCACAACCCCAACTTCGAGAGGCTCGTCGGATCATGCAGCGCATGGCGTTGGACACCGGCGGCGCGTGGCGGCTTTCGCGGCGTTGGGACACCGCGCAACGCGTTGCGTGAGAAGTCGGTGTGGTTCTTTCGGTTTGCAAAGGAAGCTTGGCTTGGCAGGTTGGTGGGTTGGTGGGTCAGTAATGGTTTTAGCTTGGCTTACACTCCAACGAACACATGGAAGTGGATCTCACCCCCTGTTCGTGAAGGAAAGTAGGCTTCCTGGATTTGCTTAGGGTGATGTGTTATTTTCCCTATGGATGAATCCCCTTCAAAGGAATCTGGTTTTCTGGTTCCTTAAGCAAATCCACGTTTTGCCTTATGGACTATTCATGGTTTCGTCCAAGTGTACCGCGTACCCCTCGATTTTTGCGGACAACTAATTTTTGGTCAGGTTCTTCTGCCAGTAGTGCTGACACTCCATTGTATGGTAGAATACATGCGATACAGCCCGTGAAACTGCCCCAACTGATTGGCATATATGCCAGTCCCATGGACTGTTTCGGGTATGGTGGTGGAGTCGGTTGGTGTGAGGGACATCGTTTGCACAGATCTTGGGACGGACAGACCTTAGACTTCTTTAGTAGGCTGGCGAAGGAAATCATTGGGACAGTTGATGGGCTTGCATGTGTATGGAATACCGACATTGATCCCTGAAACCAACCTAATTTTAGTTTTTTTTCACACACAGTTATTCCATATTCCTGGAGTGTTTGGGTTGGCGTGTGCTGAGATGGTTGCGACCTTGGAACCTTGAAAATGCGAAACAAACTAGAACAGTGTTGCAGCACTCCTAAGTTGCTGTTCGGCAGATGAGGTTGTTCAATAGATTGAGTTGTGCATCATAGGTACCAACATCAACCAACATGCAAATCTTTCATGACCAAGCACTTGCTGTTCGGCATGTCTATCACCGATGACTTTGGCACAGATCGAAGGATTTATCGTACTGATGCTGGCTGTCAAGGTCTTTCTATCGGAACGATGCTGTATGGTTTTGGGGCTGCCCTCACCATGCAACAATTTGATCGCATTGATAGTTCTGCTACGTTCTGCTAGTCAGCTTTTCCAGGGTTAGAAACAGAGAGCAGGAAGGACATCTCTTGCAGTGAGACGCATCAACAGTTGGTTGCGTTGAGTGAACTCTTGCCATTTGTGTCAGTCAACCCATTGCTGAAGACACCCTTGGGACGCTTCCATCCGAGTTGCTTTTCGCCCTTAGTGGTTTTGTGCCTTTGCATTTTAGTTGAGCCATTCTGCCCTTGCTCCAGGGAAGCATTTTCAGAATGGTTACATGGGATTTTCAACCTTCGAGGATGAGAATTTTGTTGGGTGGGAGAAGGAAGACGCCATCCTGCCGGCGCCACCCAGTTCGGAGTTCGGGTGGTTTCGAGTCTACCTGGACCCTCCAAAAGTACCTTAGAAAATGGGACACGACCCCATAACAAAAAGGTACAAGACTACCCCTTTTCCGAGGTACTAACGGATCGACTCCAGGTATGTTCCATCCAACCATCACCAAGAACTGCTTGGCTCTTGGGGATCCGAAGATCGCCCTGGTGAGGCTGTACAAGTTCACCCACTTCAACGCCATCCAAACGCAGGCGAGGCGACTCGCGCGACCGGTGGAGTCCGGGCGTGTGAAGGTTCCCCAGGCGCAATGGCACCGTCGACTGTGCTTGAAATGGATCACCCCGGGTATGGAAAGGCACGACCGAGTAGTTGATAGATCCAAGCAACACCAGCCGCCAGACGATGAAAACCATCAGCCGTCATCAGCCTCTCTTGGGGGACTTTCGGAATCAACGAGTCCGGGCAGTTTTGAGTGGCGCACTTCACAAGACAGCTTTACTGAATGAAGCACATGTGTAAGAGCTTCTGGAAGATGAGAATGAGAACTTCCTTGGTCATGTTAATACAGTATACGATGTGCCAATTTTAGGTTAGTAGTTCTTTTGAGGGAGTGTGTAATCTGCTTTTCTTGATGCGTTGAACCATATTGAACCTGTTTGGGACCAGGCTTCAATAGAAATAGAATGGCTTCAAACCTGGAGTCAGTCACACCAAGAACTCCATTTATTGAAGAGAACTCTACACACACTCAGCATATTCCATGGGCTGTTTTCACACTCCTTCCGACAACCCTCACCCCGTGCTTGGCTCGGGTTGCGCAGGTCTTCCACACCTGCTACCACACCGACTACAATGTTTTGCTGGGCGCCGGCGACCCCGAGAGTGAGAGAGTATGGACAGTTGGGTGGGTGGAAACGCCAATCAGAAGCTATACGGGGGCTTTGGTAGAAAGCTCAACAAGTGCCCCCCCCAGTAGTTGCTGTCCCTTCAGCATTGGCACATTTCAGTCTCAGGACCAGCGGCAAACTTGTTCCTCCCGCAGCATTTGACAAGCGTAGTGTCACGGAATGAATGATCTATAGGGCTTCACATGCTGCAAGTATATCAGTATAACTCAATTGTTCCATGACTGTGCTTCCCAGGCTGTTAAAGAGTCTGAGTTTGCCACAGTTGCTACTTCTGGTACAGTACCCTGTTAGATTGGATTTTCAGATTCTTTGTCAGAAGGTTCAGCAGGTAGGCTTTGGTCGACCTTTAAAGGTCTTTAGAGCATCAGATCGGCTTCAGTGTGGCTGCTTACTCTTCCACTGCGTGAAGAGGAGCTTTCCAATGGACCCTAGGGCTACAACTAGCTCCAACTACCTCCGTTTCGAAGATGCATATGGTGGGTGCTTGGGGGGGTCTAATCACCTTCAGAGGATATGGTCATGTGCATAAAAATAGGTAGACCTCCCAATCAACTCACCGGAGCCAGAGCCTTAAGAGAGACTGCCGACCGAGGCCCCCACAGGCAGCGGAAAGACGAACGTGGCTGAGCTGACCATGTGAGTGGCTTAGAAAGGCCATGAAAAAATGGGTCACCTGTAGAAGGCACTGCAAAGAGGGATTCAGAAAGCACATCGTGTAGAGATGGAGTTCGATCTGCTTTTTCCGGGTGTTTCAGAAGGGGGTCAGTCATCTCCAGCTTTATGGTGCCATGTCTGGGGTATACCACCCACAGTGACGTGAAGGGGAGGAAAACCGCCGCGTGGCCGGCATCCCATTGTATTCTGAGTCGCTATTAGGTTGCAGGCCATCGCTATTAGGTTGCAGGCCATTGCTAGTAGGTTGGAGGCCATTGCTAT